CCTCTCTGAGGCACCTGTGACACCTGACGCGGAACGAATCAAACTGATGCCCCCGAAACCACAAAGCCGGCTTTTTCAATGGGGTCCGTGATCTTCGGAGAGGAGCTCCTTGAAAACACGCCTCCACGCCTCTTTTACTTTCAGGGGATCTGACTGGTTGATCCTTGTGATCGATCGGTCGCGAGCTCACGCAGGACTCCACGAGCCCACTGGTCAGGGGGCAAACGACCCAGCCGTTCTTCGCGCGAGGGGATCGAGATGGATCGATTGCTCGGTTGCTAAAGGAGCGCTGGGAAGCAGAAAGGCACTGACCCCACGCTCTCGCTTTGCGCCTGTCTAGAGTGAGCCGCAAAGGATCGACACTCAAGGCTAACATGGAAGCTCCCGGGATTTGGAAGACTTAGTTGGCTGTGAATTTGACTAGGGGAGCCTTTGGTCGACATCATTTAGGCGGGGACCAATCACTTTGGAGGTGGTTCTCTGAATTCCATAGCCAGGTCCATTTGCAGCCTTCTGGGAGCGATGGCATCGGCGCTATCGCCGCGCAAGCTGAGTGTGCCACACTTCCGTGAGGCAGAAAGTGGAGGCGACCGCCTCAAGGCGCACTCGACTGAGCAGCTCGTTGGTTTTCACCGGTGACCATGCTCGGAGGGGTTGTCCAAAAGCCAAAAACACGCTGGCCAAAACAACAGCGCTGGTCTTCCCAAAAGTCCGAGTCCACAAACCGGGGAAGTGAGCTTCCTAAAGTCTTGGAGTGTATAACCTTGGATGCTGGTATACCTCCATCTCCCCCCGACATGGACTCGTGTGTTGCCAAAGGCTCCGTTTTGCATGTAGGCTTCCTCATTTCCAACCTGAACACATTTGGCCTTGTGATAATCTTTTTTGCAGCCTTTTGTCTCCAAACCCATACTTACCATTTATAACCAACAAGGTAAACAGGCTTTGCTTTTTGAGGGTACCCTTTGCAGGTTGACTTAGAGGGACAACACAAAGGAAGCCAGCATTTTAGGTCCCGGTCCTTATGGTCTCAGGAGCTGCCCCTGGGTATCGGAAGACTGAGACCCCAACGAGTTGGTCCTTTGACAAGGGGCGTGTGCATTTGGTACTTTGAAACCAAGCTTCGTGCTAGACTATGCCAATCCACAGCCGGATTTGGTGAAGATCAATCTCCAGGGACCCGAAAATGGATGGGGTTTGTTTTAGTCAGCCTCCTCCGTCTCTTTCTGGGGGTCCCCCTGCTTTGGCGGCTTTAAAGGGAACCAACCCTAAAACCGCAGCCATGTTGGGGGGTCCGAAGCCAACTCCCCCGCCCCCACCTCTGAGGAAGCGGAGCTCAGCTCCACCATGGCGGTGGCCCCAGAACCCACTGCCTGTGGAGTTCGTTCCATCAAGTCTCCCTCGCCCTTTTTCTACCATTCTTTCTCAAAACCGGAGGTTCCCCCCAGGTTTTCGATGGATTTTTTCTGAGAAGAAGGATCCCTGGAAAGAATGGGAAGCTTCCCCTAGACTTTTGGGTTGCGAAGCAACCGGAACATTACTTCGCCTGAAAAGGGCGGTCACAAGGCCACAGTCAAGTGGGATTCAAACAGAAGAGCTTGGCTCGAAAAGGAGCCTCGTTCAGGATTCCGTTTTGCAAACTCAGCGCGAGACTCAAACCCAAGTCTGCCTCGGGGCCTCAAAAAAAGGACGACCCTCACCGTCGACAGGATTTGACGCCACCGGGCCTTCGCTGCCAGAAGAAGCCGCAAAAGTGGGACAGACCTCGTGTGGCGGAGCCGTTCAACGGCTCTGAAAGTCGACATGTGTTTTCTCTGTTCCCGAAAAGTTTGGAGTTCCCTCTGGTTTTGTTGGCGGATATGGGTCCCCCGGTGTCCTCCTACCGACTGTAGAAGACCAATAGCAACTGGTGCCCATGACTCCTCTGGATGGGTCCGGTTGTGATGCCAACGCGGTTGATTCGAATCCAACCTGACCGCTTCAGTTAGGCGATTGGAATCAAAGTGGCAACCCAAAACCGAGGGTTGGGTCAGTTGTTGCTTTTTTAGGGACCCCAAAATTGTGTTCGTATTGGTTTCCCTTAAAATCCACCAAACAGGGGTACCCTCAAGCAAGACACACCCATATCTCTTCTGCTTGCTGCCTTTGCCACAGTGCGATCAAGGCGCTCGTCCGCCTTCTCCAGCTGGAGGGACCAATAAATCCCCGTGTCGTCATAGAAGGACCTCTGGCGGGCGCGGCACCCAGGCAAACAATTCGGGCCTGCAGGTGACAGGTTGGGAGGAACCTCAGTGTAGAAACCCCGCTTACGGATCTCTAGCAACCTGCTCTTTGCGGGTCAACCAGTGAGCCGTCTTCAAATGAGAAGCGCCCAACACCCATTGACCTTTGAGTCCTAAACCAAATCAGTAGCTCGTCAAAAGGCCCATGGCTTTGCTACATGAGCAGGGTTGGTTTCATGTGTGTTCCCAGTCACATGAATAAACCTCCAGTGAGCCAAACGAGTAGCAAAGCCCTAGCTGCGGGCGCGGTGTTGTCAGGAGTACAACGCTGCCTGAAATTCCCGGAAGAGGGATGCCCAATTTCCCGCGCCACGCACGCACGTTCTGTCTCAACCTCGGAATTTCAAACTGTTGGCTTCTTGTCGATGTTCGACTTAACTTTCCAAATAATAGAGGGTATCCACACACATGCCGCAAGGCGCAGGCCCTGCCGCCATCGACATCGAACATGGCTTGCAGTGCCAAACCACTACCCCCAGGGAGATTTTCTGGTATGGGGTTTGGGGGTATGGACTTAAGCCCAGTGGTGGTTTGCCATGTTTGCCTATTGGTCTTCGCTGACTGACCAAAATGGCGGTCTGAGTCTCTGAGACCCCCGGCACCGCCGTCTCTGCGGAGGCCAGCTCTATGAGCGCCACTGGGGTGCGGAGGCGCCTCCGCCTCGGGGGTTTTCGTTTCTCGTCGATGGCTTCCCTTGGATCAAATGGATCAAATGGATCCCACGCCTGGTGTGACTGAAATTGGAAGGATCGATGGGTTTCCCTGGCAAATGGAGGGCACACCCATCTGAACCACGACCCATCCATTTTTAAACCTACTCCCTTGACGGCACACGGGTTTTGGACGTGAGAAAAAGCCGCCGGGTGGAATTTCTGGAATTCACTTCGCCGCACTTCGCCGCGGGGCTTCCGGATCGCTGTGTACACGAGGAGCTCCATCTGATCCTCGGAGCTCCTGTCAACATCCGCGCTACGCACCGGGGATCGATGAAACCCCTTTGGGAGAAACATGGATCAAACCACCTGCCTGGTGCAATGTTTAGATGAGAAACGTCCGATGGACGACCCAAACAGTCAAGCCAAAAGCCTGGTGCGAAGTGGATATTCCTCCAGAGGTCCGCTGCCCGAACAATGCATGGGACGCAATCAATCCCCCAACTGCTGATTCCTAAAAGGAAATAGAACTGCTGGGAGCTCCACTGCGATACTGATTTGTGGGGGGGGGGGGGCTAACTGAACCTTCGGTGAGAGCTCCCTTTTGTTGGTTGGTTGAAGGAAAACCGATGCGATTTTGGGAGAGCCCAACTTTGACGACCCAAAGAGCCATCCGCAGGCTCCTGAGTACGGCCACGAAGAGGCCGTCCTGGCCCTCGCCAGCATCGACCTGTCAAGCGGGAACTGGATATGGGCTCGTCTTTTGAGAGTACACCTTTTGGGGTGGTGAGAGCAACCAAAAGGACACCGACCAAGTTTTAAGGCTCAAAGCTGAAAGGAGATTCAACTCATGGCTTTTTAGGTTCCACAATTCCACGTCTGCTTTGGGGAAGGATTCAAGGGCCTCATGAGATACTAATGTGTGTGCTTGGTTAGCCCCTTTAATCCTATGTGTGTGAGTGTACTTTGCCTGTTTGGTGTAGTTTTCAAGGGACAATTTATTTGTTCCAGGTCCGATTCCTAGTTTGAGACACACACACCTGTGGGTTTGTCTCAAAGGAGTCGGACCTCCAAAATAGATGGTTTTGGTTTCAGTTTCCCTTTAAAACCACCAACATCAAGGCCCTCAAAAACACACAGACCTGTATTCACCCCCCTCCAATTCCATGCTACCCGCGCCTCCACCATTTCCGCGCCCGCATCGTCCAGGCGGAAGAGGCGCGTCAGCCCGCTCCACAGGATCTGTGCGGCTGATTTGCTTGGGGCTTGCCAAAAAGCACAGGCTGCCTGTTCTTTGGCTTTGGGCCGGCTGGTTTGGCGGTTGTTGATTTTTGGCTTTTCCTCTTAGTCTCCTTTTGAACGACCAAAGGGCTCCTCATGGAGATGCTTGAATACGAGGTCCTTTCAGGAAGCCAAGGGGAAACCAAAGCACCTTCTTTGACGACGTCCCCGATTTTTTGGAGCCCAGGCATGATTTGTTTTTTGCCGGGAAGCCAAAAGGAAAAGGGTCCAAGTCCCCTATTTTGACATACCAGGGCCTAATTCTTTTAGCGGCGCACAAGGGCTGTGAGACCTTCCTAAGGCCTGCGGAATCCGAATCTGATCCTCGGGGCCCGGGAGTTTCGCCTCCCAACGCCTTCTCGGCGGTTGATTCCATCTGACCACGTCTTTCAACAGAAGACCATTGGACGAATGGACATCCTTTGTTGGTGCACCCTCGTTCCAACATGGAAGTGGACAAGGGATCCGTTTGGCGTCGGCTTCTCACCGCTCAGGTCATGGTTAAGCCATGCTGCCCTTGCACACATCACATAGGTGTGGCTTTTTTTTGTGGCCCAACAAAACAAGAAGGGTGGTTGTCCCATTTAACCAACCCACAAAGGGTACCCTCAAAAAAAGACACACCCACATGTCGGTTGCCAGTTTTAAGTGCGCTTCCTTGCTATAGGTTGGAACTATATATGCAACCTGGCGTGCCTTTGCTACTTGCATCGATATCTGTGAATTAAGTTTTCTTTTTTAATAGGTAGATTGCAAGATCAACGGCTTCGCTTTTGCGCAACTGCGCACTTTTGCCGCATCATTGCTCCAGCGTGGAAGGAGTTCGGCGTCCCAGCAGGATGTGGTTGCCATGACCTAAAGAAAGCAAAGCTCTCAAAGTTGGGGAACCCCAGAAATATTGGTTGTCCGTTACGTTTCTCTTTGAAACAATCCCACAAGGGGTTTCCCAAAAATGACTGTGCCGAGTGAAACCAGTCCAAACTATTCCCATTTACACAGCCCAAAACAGTTGGGGACCAAAACGGTTTTCCAAAGAGTGTTGGCCAGAAAGTCTGCACGAAAACATCAACAAACACTACACTCCCCTTTATAGTGACATAGAGCCCAACAAGGGGGGTGCCCGAAAAGGACATGCCTCTACGAATGGGGGTCTTTTGGGTTCCATGTTAATCTGCAGGAGAGTGGCATGTTTGCCAGTTGTAACCATGGCCCTCTAATATCAACAGGAAAAACACATTCATTGCCTTAAACAAGTGCAGCGGAATGCTGACTGATCCATCTTCGATCGGTCTGTTGCCAAACCAAGCTTCTTGTAGATTGCTTTCGCCTTTCTCTGATCCCTTGCCAGGGGGCCATGGCGCGTGAACGCGTTGATACATCTGGCCCTCTTATCCCGAGTTCACATCAAGTTCAACACATTCACATCTGACTCCCCAACTTCACATGGCTTTTTTTTCCCTATGGGGTTCCCCATGCAGTAAATTTGACTTGAACGGCCCAAGAGCCAAAAGCCCATCGGACCTCGGATCGAGATTCGCATCGAAATTCCGAAAGGCCAAGAAGCTCACTACGTCCTCCACGGAGGGTAGGAAGTCTCGGTACAGCGCCTCGAATCGGATTCCATTGGAATTGGTGCCTCATGGGTTGGGTGTTCCTTTTCCTGAAAGATCCACCAACCCCAAAAACGGTAGCCTCGAAAAAGACACGCCTACTTGTATGTTCAACCAACGTCAGGTAAGTAGAAGTTATGACCATGGTGAAAATGAGGGGCAAGACCTACTTGCTAACTGAGTTCCTCAAACGGTTGGTACTTGAAGGGTGTTTGTTGGCTGGACATACCAACAAGTTCTTGAACAAACCACCAAATCGCGACACAAACCACCAATCGGATCCCTACATGTGTTGGATGTTTAAAGATCTCCCTGCCCCAAACCATAAGCCAACAATCTCAAAGGCCAAACTGCGCCAAGGCGCCAGCTGCTTCTCCGCAAAGGAGGGGGTGCTGAGGTTCTCCATGAGCAAGCCATCCGACTTCAAGAGGCGCAAGCCGTGACGAAGGTCCTGGCTCCAAGTGTGGGCACCCGTGTTGGGTTGGTTTAAAGGGAAATCAAAGGAAAACAAAAGCCAGCCATGTTGGGGGTACCCCTTATTGGACAAGCAGGTGGGCATTTTGTTGCTCTTACTCCATGAAGTCAGGTTGACGGCCAACATCTAAGGTGATCTCAGGTGTATGTTACACCCAGTTAGGAACTGACCCAAGCTGCCCCATAGAAACTAACAAGGGTTGTTCACGGCCAGGGCTTTGGGGCACTGTTCGATGGGAGAGCCACCGCCCATTAACACGCACAAAGCCGAAAAGCTGAGAACTCCGAGCCCGTCCAATCTGACCTCCAGAACCAACCGCATGGGGGGTACCCTTCTTGGATGGTGTTCAAGGGAAACAAAAAACAAATCCATTCTCACGGGTCCCCAATTTTGAGACAGACATATTCTAGAGTGCCAAGCTGAACGCTTCAAGTTCCACCGACAGCACTTCCGACCATATCTAACCACCCTAGACAAGCAAGACCTTCCATCCGTCTCCCCAGAAGGTGACCTGCCCCACATGGAACGATGTCTCCCTGAAACGAAAACACATAGGATGGTCTTTGAGGACGTACCAATTTGCCTTGGTGAGGTGACTTTCGGCGGTGTTGCAATTTGGTTGGACTCCCAGGACCTGTGCCACCCGCTTCACCCTGAATTGAAAGGAAACTGCAGAAACCAAAAGAAACGCCAACTTTTCATTTGATCCGAATCCCCATCAGTTCTTTTTCCCAAGACCTTTTTGGTAAGGCATGGCAAGGCGCTTTGCACAATTATTGTTGGGACCTGGGTGTTTCCCTTTACCCACCATTGTGTGTGTGTGTCAAAATAGGGATGCAGCTTGTGGGGTCTCTCTTGTCTCCCTTCAAACCAACCCAAAAAAGGGAACCCTTGCAAACTACGCAGGTTAACAGGGCCACAAAAGCCTTTCTATGACCCTACGAATAAAAGAGGGTTAAAATTATTTCCTTATTCACTTGATACCATGCGCAATTCTTGAGCCCATGCTGCCTCAACGATGCATCGGTGTGCTTTTGGGTGGTGGGATGGACCCCGTAATTGGTCAGTTTTGCCCACAACAGTAGGCACGATGTAGGTCTTATTTGCCTGCGGGCTGAGTCCTTCTTGGGGGAGCCTACTTTTGATTGGCTCCAAAGGCCCGTTCCCTGCGCGCGCGTGCGCACCGTTTGCGCGCCTCTTTGTTCAGGTGGATGTTGTGGCCCACATCTGTGACCTCGGATTTGTTCGGGGCCGGAGGGGATCTACTAGAGTTGGTTGGGTAGTTGGGAGAAGTAGAAAGGTGGGCCCTGGGGGGGGGGAGGTGAGCATATGCATATATCTATATGTGTGCATATACATACATGTATATATATATATATATATGTACTCTGAAGGCCAGTTTTCTTTTTGTTTCGTTCTTCTTTTGGGGGGGGGGAAGGAAACCCCTTGAGAAATGGGGGTAGTCATTTATTTGGTGGTACTAGTTCGGGCGTAGGGTACCCTCGTGCTGGGTCCAGCACTGGTAGAACATTGGGGGTTTGGGGGTAGTGGGCATCTCTTAGCAAACGGAAACTACGCTTTTGGGGACCACAACTACTATACACCTACACCACGCAACACATAAAGAACAAGACTCGTTTTTCCCTTTGGTCGTTGCTTTTCTCTTGGCTTTGGGGGGCAATGGTCTTAGCATTCCTGAGGCCTCCGCAATGGCGTCGAAGGTCCCAGGCTTCTCCTCCGAGAGGTCCGCCAGTGCGGCGTGGAGGTCCTTCACCTCCGCGTCGCCTGCGTTTCCATTCGAAATGCCCAGCGCTTTTTGACTGGGGTCATTATTTTGACGGTTTTTGGGTAGGGAGAGGGGGTGAGAAGGAACATGTGCAAAGACAGGCTGAAAAAGAGAGGGTTCGAATTGGTGGTGGGAATTGAGGTGCTCATTCTTGAGGGTAAATGGGAAATCACCCAACCAAATACCACGCCGATCCAAACAAACAAGAGGGGAAGGAGACAAAGAGATTGATATAGGACACCTGCAAACTCATTGACCCAAAAAAGAGGAGGCGCCAACCAACAACACGCTGATGTTGAACGAGCTGAGTGAACCAACAACACGCTGATGTCAAACAAGCCGAGTCCACAAAACATCTTAGGTCCGGTTGGATTATTCTCCTCTTGAGGGGCCTTCTGGGCCCATGTCAGTGGGAGGATGTGTGAGGTTCCTTGTTTTTCCTAGGAACAACTCAACAAAGTTACGAGGCTGAGATCCAAATGGATCATGGCAGGAATTGTCACCGGAACTCTGTAACTCGTGAGGTTGCCACAATCCCGTGTCGTGGTTTCGAGATGGATCAAGATGGCCGAAGGCAAAGCATTGGGGTTCTTTTTGTACTATTCGCTGGCCAACCACCAGTCTGGTCCTGGGCAAGCCATCTAGCCTCCAATTCTTCCAGTGAAACCCTCGGGCCACGGCCTAAGTCGGTTTCCTTTCCCATGTCCCGAACAAATCGCCTTACCCTCGGTGTTGGCTCTTTGCAGGTCACTTTGCTCGTATGTCCTTCGGTGGATTCTGCCTGACTCTGCTGTTTGGCGATATGGGACTTTTACAAGTTGGAGGCATGGGGACCGTAGACGGTCCCACCCTGGGATTCCCATCCAACCACAACTGGGGGGCTTTCTTGGCCAGAAAGTGGAAAGTGGGAATCTAAACCTAAAACAATGCTTCAAGCAGTTGGGGGCATCAAGAATGTGACTAGGGATATATAACCGACCTCCGAGAGGTCGATAGGTGTCAAAAGTTTCCAGTCGGCTTCCTAGCACTTTGGTAGAAAGGGACCTGTCGCCTCAGCATCCCATTTTGCCATCGAAAGCGAGGGTCCCTTGAAGCCGAAGAAGTCCCGGGCGGCAGTCACCACGTTGGGGTTGTTGTCCACCGCCAGGACCTCGGGACCCCCGTCGCTCCCTGTGTTTGTCTTTTGGAGGGTAACCCGTTCTTCGCCTTTCAAAGGGATATCAAAGGTGCAAACCGCGATTTTGTTGGGTCCACTATTTTGACACACCCCCATGGAGAGTGAGTTTTCCTGGACGCTTTGGTGGACATCCAAATTCCTTGGGGGGACTCATGTTCAGAACCACTTTTGAGGTGGTTCCAACTCTTAAGGTTAGCCATATGAAGCAATCGAACAATGGAAGGAAGTACGCCGGCTTTGTGGTTGAATATGGTTGAGTTTTCTGGTCAAGGGCACAATCTGAATCTACCTGAACATGGCTTGTGGATGCATAACCTTCAAGCCGCGCGCGGTGCGCATTGCCCGCTTCCCGCTGGCAACCCCGAAGCCAGCCGATGGGATTCAGGGGACACCTCCATGGATCAACACATCGGGCCAGAAGCAAAGGACCTGGATGTTTCTGCTCAAAAGAGTTCAGCTTTTAGGACCTTGACTGCATTTTGCGGGTTGGTCTGTTGATCTTGTAGTGAACACCACCCACAAAAATAGGAAGGTCTAGCAACGAAATCCCTCATGCATCTGTACAAAGCGCGTTCAGTTGGGAACCATCAACTGCATTTGACGAAACCGGTGCCTCGAGCCCTCCCGGCACGCCTGGCTCCCGGGGCATTGGTGCTGCAGGAACGTGGGGATGGTGCCGCCTGTGTCAAGACCGAGTTCTGGGTCCAACAAATAACCCCTAGCCCAAGGCCAATGGAAGGCAGAGATCCATGATGTGCTTGGATCTCTAGCCCAACGAATGCAACCACAAGCGAAGTCCCAAAGGTCAAGGCCTTCTGCCCGGCCTGCGATTCAAACCAGCTTTGGGGAAGGCCCTGATCAACAATTGCAAAAGTCACCAGGCTTGTCACTTTGAAGCATGGGGCCGGCGATATGGCCCTTTGCCTTCGGATCAATCTTTTTGGGTGACCCCATTGTTTTTTGACCGATGAAAAAAGGACAAGGTCGGCATG